TTTGCATTTATATTTATATTTATTTAAATTTATATTTATATTTATATTCATATTTATATTTATTCATATTTATATTTATATTATATTTATATTCATATTTATATTTATATTATATCCATTACTATAAAATAAATATTTATAAAATAAATATGTTACAAATATATCCATTACTATTACCTTTAATGCTTTCGATTTCTTAAAAGCCTCACAGTCTTGTGTATGTTCCATAAAATGATCGGTGCAAAACATTTTTCCACACTCACAGCGCAGAGGCAAAAAATCTAACCGGTTGCAACCGTTCACCGAACAATTAATTCCCAGCGAAGGCAACTCCATTTTTATTAAGAAAATGTATCAAAAAATATATATAAAAGTTCACAAAAAATTTGATTAGAAGTGAAAGCTTTAACTGTTTTTATGCATTTTAAATTTACATTTGATTTTGCTATTTTTTTGTGTGTAAAAGTGTAAATTTAAAGAATTTTAGACATGTTAGTTATTGTGTTGGTCGTTGAGGTTTGTCAAAGCCAAATCGGACCAGCTTTGTTCTTGTTCCTTGAGTGTTAAAGGTGATTCTCCAGTATCTGTCTCGGGATCTGGCAATTCATCAGCGGGGACCTAGAAAATAGAAACATTGTAATAGACACAACTTGTGAATCAGATTTAGAAGACAGATGTGAATTTGATAAAACGTTGAGTTATTTTAGAATAATATGGTATATTTATATTTCATTTACCTATTAATTGACATTTGTACATGACTTTTAAAATTCGATTCCACATTTTACCTGTATATCCTCAAAAGGAAGTCTCTCTTCTCTCCAAGTGTCGTCCACAATATCTAAATATCTACCAGTTCCAATAATTTGACTGTCCATCACTTAAATTATTTCTTTTTTTTTTATTCACACAAAAACACATTTTCAAAATGTCATCCTCATACTCATATAAAATTGTGGTTAGGTTAACTTTAATAGAGACGGACATGAAGTTGTACACAGTCTAAAAAGCGGGAAAATTTTAAATTTGAAAAAATAATGTTAGTTAAAAATTGTAATTTGTTTGAATTGGAGAAAATGTTATGTCAAAGTATGTTTTTGTTATTTAAAATGACTCTTATTTACTTGAAATGCATGTAACGAAGTGTCATCGCAAAATTCTGAGAACTGTTCAGTATCAATTTAGCAGCGTTTTGTCAGAGGCGGATTTAATTATCATTTGTCTTTGATTCCTTGAGAATATTAAATGCACTGAAATTTCTACTGCTATTAAACAAATGGAACAACTAGTGGGGCGCATGGCATCGTGCCTTAAGGCAAATTGCTGGAACTTCCCGTACCAAAAATTATTATTTTTTTAAAAACGATTAACATTTTTGAAAAAAATTTACTTCGAAAAAATAAGATTTTTGAGAAACTATAAATTGAACAAAAAATTACTTTTTTTTGGAAATACAAATTTCTTTATTTTGACATATTCTATTCTATTCGCTGTCTAACGGATAAACATTGGTACGGAACCCATAGAAATGTAAACAAAATTTATACTTGGTATAATTATTTTGTTTATAATTTGACGTGCATATGTCTAATGATCATTTTTGACCTCCAGATGGCATTTTTTTTCACTTTTTCCCGTTAGATCTCCGAAACCGCTAGACCTGCCCTCATGAAATTTGATCAATTCTTCATCTTGTCAATACAAGTAAAATGTTTTTTGAATTATTAAAATCGGACGCTCCGTTCTCTTAAAAACTGAGTTACCGTTTTCGGCACTTTTTGCCCCGTATCTTCAAAACGGCTAGACCTGCTTTCGCCAAAAACTAATCAGCACGTCTCCTTATCAATGCAAATCGAATGTTTTTTGAATTATTCAAATCGATTGATCCGTGTTCCCAAAATCGTCGACGGAAATTTGTATCCGCAGATACATACATACACGCACGCACACACACACACACACATACATCCATTTTTTCTTTGTAAGGTATGCGCCAAAATATTCAGAAACCTTTGAAACGTCGAGAAATGCAAAAATTTTCATTTTCGATTTTTTTGCGATTACTATAACTTACCCTACGGTAAGTTAAAAAGGGGACTCTACTGACGAGCAAACTAATCTAGAATTAAAAAAGGGACTCTACTGACGAGCAAACTAATCTGGTATTAAAAAAAGGGACTCTACTGACGAGAAAACTAATCTAGTATTAAAAAAGGGACTCTACTGACGAGCAAACTAATCTGGAATTAAAAAAGGGACCCTACTGACGAGCAAAAGCTAAAATATATAAAAAGGGGACTTTACTGACGAGCAGACGAGTATTTCAATTTGCTCATCAGTTCATATAATTTAAAATATAGTTTGCTTGTCAGTAGAGTCCTTTTTATTTTCATGTCTGGTAAAATACAGTCGATGATGAAAAATACTAAATACAAAAATTTAAAAAATCATCCAGGCTAAGCACAGTCTAATCACTCTGGTGCAAATGTTTACCCAAGTGGGTTTTCGCGCTTTTCCAATTTTGTGAAAACTATTGAAAAATGTGAAAATGCCGCCAAGCTAAGCACAGTATAAGTGAAAATTTCGCACAGAATTATTTGCAAGTGCGTTTAGACTGTGACTATACCGGAGCACTTTGTGTAAATTAGGCAACTATTTTTTTTTTTTAATTGAATTCGAAATGAAATGACGATTGTTAATGTTCTGGAGATAAATTGATTTTTTATGATTTACATTTGATTTGCTCATATATAACAAACAAGATAGCAAAAATAATGAAAGTTACAGTATTTGTAACAATATATTTGAAAACGTTTAAAATTTCTCGAATATTTCGTTACTGTGCGGGAAGTTCCAGCAATTTGCCTTAAGGCACGATGCCATACACCACTAGTTATCTTTTTTATTGTCACATATCTAAATATCTACCAGTTCCAATAATTTAAAACAAATTTTCAAAATGTCATCCTCATATAAAATTGTGGTTAGCTTGTAAAATTATTAACTATTAACACTTTAAAAATATATTAGGTTGTCAAATATCTCCCTTCCGCCTTTTTGTATTATAAACCAATAGCAAAAAAGCGGAAGGGAGATATTTGACAACCTAATACTTCGGCATACATATCAACTAGTCTTATATTAAATATAAAGTTAACAGACTTTTTGCATATTATATATTTCATTATTCATACAAAAACGTGTTCCATATATATCTAATTTAATAACGAATATAAATTGAGCATTTAAATAATTGCTATATATCACTATCACTAAAAATAAAATTGTACCCCCGTGTGTCCTGTTTATTTCTTTCTATTATTGTCTATTATTCTTCAAATACTTCAAATGTATCTCCATACTCAATTTCCCTGCAAAAACGCTGTTTCGTTCGATATTATTCCACATAAATGCCATCAGCAATCCAAACATCCAAATAATAGTCAAACTTATTTGCACAATCAGAATCAATGTAGATGTTACAGTAAGACTGGACAGATCGCTCATCTTAATAATGGCCAGGAGGAGGGAAAAACATACTATCGATAAATATATGTAAGATCGTTTGTGGTTATCTAGGGATATCAAAGCCTCTTTGCAAATCTTAATCGAGTCGCTTATATCTTGAGCATATGAGTTGTTGAGGTTTTGTTCTAATTTGTTTTTGGCATCGGGGATTGTGCACACTTTGCCGGTTTCTGCAAAAAGTGTAAAAAAATACTAGGTAATGGATTATGAAATTTGTGCAAAAACTTATTGAACCATTGAATTTTACAACTCACCAGAAGTAGAAAAGGCTTTTTCCAGTCGAAATGTAGTTACAACTGCTTCATGGTCTGAGAAACTGATGTCGTGATTGGGAATTGTGACAGGCAGTGGATGTTCGTACTTTGAAACATTTACCTAGAAATGAATTAACATTAAACTCAGTACGAATGTACCCATAGACATTTTCGAATTTCTTTGTTTCCAAGGGCTCAAATGCTTTCAAATTAATATAAAAAAAATCTAAAAGTTTTAGCTCTTAATATCAACATTTAGATAGTCCGCATTTGTGTTTTGTAATATTTAGCAAATTTTTAGCCAATTAAATTATCTACAACTTTTGTTAATAACAAAATGTTGTATCTCTTATCCTTTTACCCAAAATTTGCAATGAAACAGGTTTTTGTTAAATTTTGGAGGTTGCATCAGTATATCTTGCTTCACACTTTTGGACCAGCTCGATTTTTATTTATTTATTTATAACTTCAAAACGAAATGTCCCACCATTTTGCAATATTCAGCAAATTTATAGCCAATTAAATTATCTACAATTTCTATTAACAACAAAAATTGGTATCTCTTGTCCTTTTATCAAAAATTTACATTTAAAAAGGTATTTGCTAAATTTTGGAGGTTACATCATAATCATGTATCTTACTCTGTCACTCTACACTGTCGGGTATATGTTGCTCTTTTTCGCACTAGTGTTTTATATATATATTCTCTCTCTCATTTTCTCACTATATACTGTTGTCTCTTTTACGTTTAATCAAAACAGACTCTATATGACATCGCGACTTAAAAAGTTTTACTTCAAAAATAAAATTTTATTTTACTAATTTATACATCGCCAACCTAAGAAGTTCTACTTCAAAATTCAAATGTAAATCATAAATCAATCAATTTATCTCCAGAAAGAACATTTCATTTCGAATTCAATTAAAAAAAAAAGTTGCCTAATTTACTAAAAATTGAAAAAGTGCTCCCGTATAGTCACAGTCTAAACGCATTTGCAAATAATTCTGTGCGACATTTTCCCTTATACTGTGCTTAGCTTGGCGGCATTTTCACATTTTTCAATAATTTTCACAAAATTGGAAAAGTGCTCCAGTACGTAAACAGTCTAAACGCACTCGGGTAAACTTTTGTACCAGAGTGGCGCTTAGACTGTGCTTAGCCTGGGTAATTTTTTGAATTTTTAATCTAAAAAATTACAAAAATATTTTATGGAAAATAAAAAAAAATGCAACGATTTTTTATCCTCAAAAGCAATTGTTTTGTCAATACAAGCAGAAAGTTTTTTAGATCATTCAAATCGGACGGCTTAGTTCACTAAAAAACTGCCATTTTTTGCACATTTAGCTCTGTATCTTCGAAATGGTGGGACATGTCTTTGCCAAAAACTAATCACCTCTTCTCCCAATCATTACAAATTGAATGTTTTTTAGATCATTCAAATCCGATACTCCGTTCTCTCAAAAACTCGATGTGTATTTGCTTCATTCTTTGCTCCGTATCTCCGTAACGGTTGGACCTGCCTTTGCCAAAAACTAATCAGCACATCTCCCTATCAATAGGGATGGAATGTTTTTTAAACCATTCAAATCGGTTGATCCGTGCGCCCGAAAACGTGGACGAAAAAATGCGGACGCACAAAACACACACACATACACACATGTCCATTTAGTTTCCGAGGTATACCCTTCAAAAATGTTCAGAAACCTTGAAAACGTCGAGAAATGCAAAAATTTTCATTTTCGATTTTCGGCCCATTACTATAACTACCCTACGGGAAGTTAATAAATTAAATTCCTACCTTAACTTTATTACTGCCTTTATAAAGGATGTAATCGATCCTCTTTCCTTCGATATCGTTATCCGATACACTTTTTGGCGAATATGTATTTTCCTTATGTTCGTTTGTTCCAGTTGATCTTCTGCATGTGATTTCATCGTTTTGAAATGGAATGAATGAATCGTGCAAACCCGATGAACCTAAAATAATTCTAAAGAGGAAAACAAAAATTATTATTATCCTTGTTTATTAATAATAAATATATTATTATTATTATCATGTTTATTAGTAATTAATAAAAATTATTATATTATTATTATTACCTTGTTTATTAATAATTAATAAAAATTATTATTATCCTAATTTA